TTAGTGTGACCTTTAATCTTACAGCAGTGACATTCCTAAGTCACACTTGCAGCAGTGACCTTTAATCTTACAGCAGTGACCTTCCCTAAGTCACACTTGCAGCAGTGACCTTTAATCTTACAGCAGTGACCTTCCCTAAGTCACACTTGCAGCAGTGACCTTCCCTAAGTCACTGTTGCAACAGCGACCAACCCTTCATAAGTAACCAGCACAGTCTCCTTCAGTCAGCACCCAGCTTACTGCTGGAGGGCATCTTGGGGGGTCAGTCCCCCAGGTTGTATCCAGACGTAGCCCAGGGCTGACATAGTGCAGTAGGCGTGGTAGTAACGACCAGGACTACGACACCAGTACCATCTGGAGCACTTACATCGGAACTCTGCTTGGAACTCACTCTTACACACTTCACCTGTCCAGCATGTTCTCTGTGGGGCAGAAGTAGTGGTAGTTAGTGGTGGTAGGGGTAGTAGTTAGTGGTGGTAGTTGCTGCAACCCCTGAATGGGTTACAATGATTATGTATATATAATGTATATTACCTTTTCATATAATTTTATATTGCTTATATTTGCGATAATAGCTAAATCGTAAATATATTGCTTTATATTCTTATTTGACTTATGTTGTCAGGATGTACATATGTGCTCAGTTCGTCTTGATTGTCAAACTACTGTAATTATAGTTTGTCGCTCGTTATACTGCCGGCTTCTGAGCTGTGCTGTCCACGGGGCTATCACGTGATCGAGGGGGGGTGTCCTCACCTCTCGTGAAGTATTCAGTCTGATCTAGACTCTCTTGGTGGTTGGACAGATTGTCTGTCTCATTATTCTTGTTAGTTCTGTAGAACTCTGTTCACAGAACATTGTATAGACTTAGTGATTTTCGACGTTGTACTGAGGTTGTGTGTCTCATAGACACTCTGAACATCTCAGGTCCTTAGCTGTAGCTTCTGACCTAACGTTGTACTGGTTTCTGTGTATTATCACAGTCGGGGATTTTCTTATGCTGAACTTAGATTCAGTAGTATGGGAGTTTTGTGACTTTTGTGGAGGATCTGCTGATGGTCCCTACTTAGTGTCGTTATATTATCTCCTTGTTCCTGATTCTGTGTCGCAGTTGCTTGTTGTATTGCTATTGAGCTTTAGCATTCTTTTTGTGGTTCAAGCAGACTGTTCTGGTTGCCAGTCGGTTAAGAAGTTAGTTTATGAGAGGACTTTGTCAGTCACTTGTTTAAGTCTAGTCGAGTCGTGAGACATAGTGAACTACTTAGAGCACTTACACACATACACACAAACTTGTACATATTTGTAATATCTTATTAAATGTTGATGTACCTGACGGTACTTAAGAATTATAAATGTGATATGTGCTTTCAGCACAATAATATTGTACTTGAGAGAAGTGATGTTATTTTGATTATTGTGATTAATTTAATTTAATTTGATAATATACCTCTAGACTTAATAAATTTATTAAATTTTAATTTCTCTAGTTAGTAGCCTACCAGTTGTAATCCTGAAGCACTATTGAATCATCCTGAATTTAATGGATAATTGGACAAGGATACTGACTACTTGTTATGAAAACCCAGTAACAGGCTGGATGCTAGAAGGGCAGTCCTTTCTAGTATTCACTGGAGATCTCTAAGCTTTTAGAATCGCGTTTTTTGTAAGAAATGGGGGCCTGTCCGGGATGCTCTTGATCCAAGGTGTTGGAGAAATTGTCCAGTTTGACATACTAGTACTTCTATGATCAAACACTTTGAGTACTTTCCTAATCTGAAGACTTTCAGTTTAGTCTTGTACAACATACCAGGTGGATGTATGTACCTGACTGAGTCTCTTGATCCAAGGAGATGGAAATACTGTTTATGAGCTCTAGCTCTAAGACAACTAACACTAAAATTCCTATTAGGATTATAGTTTCCCATAATAACTCTCTCGTAGTACAATTATTTTTGTGATGTATGCCAAAGTGAAACAGTTAATTGATACTCTGACTTTGTCTGAGTTAAGTACATCAAAACTTCAGACGTGTTGGCAAGTAGCCAAATATCTCGGTGTGACGTATAACAGGAATTACACCGCTGAAACTGTCAGAGCATTAATTAAAGATATATTGTTTCCTGCTCATACAGAGATGTCTGATTATGATTCAGATTCTGAAAGCCTAGTGTCACAATTAGGAAGTATGACTATTTGATGATGATGAAAGAGCAACTAGAGCAGAAGTGAGCCCAGTGTCTGAGCCTAGTGTAGATCAGTTCTTGCTCCTTCCTTCACTGACACTATAGTACAGAGTATAGCTGGTAGTATGACACAGCCTAATACTAGTACAGTGTATGCTACACCTGTATCTACTTACCCTAGACCAGATCTAGACTCTCTAGAGACGGCTGGACGAAGTGTCCGACCTAAGGACCGTCCAGACCACGTTAATTTCCCTACTCCTCCATTACCCACTGTTCCTATCTCTCAGGAACAGTTTGAGAGGTTGGAACGTCTCATTATGTTGCAGACTGCACAAATAGAGGCACAGAGGAAATTGAACGAAGAAGATTTCCAAAGAGAAAATGTTCGTCTGTTAAGACAACAGACTGATAGATCACAGGACACATTTAATGTGCAGAAAGCTGCATCCATGGTTCCTAAGTTTTTGAAAGTGACTTAGACACATATTTTGATGTGTTTGAGAACCAGGCACGTGCTATGAATTGGCCACGTAAGCACTGGGCAACATTGTTGCATACTGCTTTGACGGGAAGAGCTCAAACCTGTACTGCACCTTTGCCATTTACCAAGTACATTAGTTATGACGCTGTCAAACAAACAATTCTAGAGACGTATAACTTGTTACCTGTAAGTTATCAAAGAGCATTTCGTACGTTACAACGACGACAAGATCAAACTTGTGTAGAGTTTGCTCATGAGAAAAAAGTTGCATTTGAGAGATGGTGTAGAGCTGCCAAGTGTAACAACTACGACACTCTTGTTCAGTTGTTACTACATGAAGAGTTTAACAACTGTATGCCTGCTGACATACAAGAATATATGATCGATCATACTACCTCAGATATTCTGGAAACTGCAGCATTAGCAGACAATTATGAGATTTCTCACAAACTTGTACGTACTAAAACACAAAGAAACAAGGTAACTAAAGATTGTCCTAGAAGTTGGCAACCTAAATCAGCTGCTCATTGCCGGCCTGATGTACCTGCTACTGTAACTTCTCGTACCTTTACCAGGAAAACTCACAAACCTGAATTTGTCTCTGTGGTTAGACAGAAATCTGATATCGAGAAGAAGAAAGTTAAATGTAACTATTGTAACAGAAAAGGACATGCTAGAGAGTATTGCTATAAGTTAGAAAGAGATACGAGAAACAGTCGTGCGGCTGGCGCCCCCACACAAGTCGTATCCTCTTCCGAACAACAAAGGCACCAAAATCCTAGTAATACCTCTGATCCTACTGTTTTAGATAATGTTACTCAGGATAGATGAATAGCGTCAGAAAGTGTATCTGACGAAAAGATTCGTTCAGCGATGAGTCCTTACTTTTCAAGAGATAAAGTAGGATTTGACGAATCACATCTAACTGAGATAATTTCTTTCAGAGACACTGGCAGTTATCTCACATTATTAAGAGAAGATGTACTGCCCATAACTGACGATACCTATTGCAAGATAGATGTATTGTTAGAAGCCTATGGAGGGGCTGTTATAAAAGTGCCTCTGCACAAAGTTTATATTGAAACAAGCTATTATACTGGTTATATTTCAGTGGGTATATCCAGTGGTGTATTTCCCATCAGGTAAGTGGACTTGTTGATAGGGAACGATATCCTACATGCTGGTATATGTAAAGAACCACTTGTGATTGATAATAACACTGATGATAATTATGCCATTGAAGCTTGTAGAGAGAAACCTATTTTATTTCCTCTCAGCGCAATTACTAGAGCTATGTCAAAGATTCAACAACCATCCTTGTCTCCTGTTGAGTTAGTGGATGACAATGATTTGGGGTTGAATATGTTGTTTAGTGACGCTCTGCGCCCAGGATCATTAACACTGACTCCCCCCGGTCATCAACCTAGTCAGGACACAACTGACGTTAAATTTCTAACTCATGATGATTTAATCAAGGATCAGTTTGTTGATCAGTCACTGGAAAAACTGAGAGATATAGCAGTTACTGAGAGTGAAGCAAAGGATCTTGATAATTGTTACTATTATAGTAACGGTGTACTGATGGAGAAAAATACAAACAAGTTGTCAGCTGATAGTGTTTCCACCACAGTCAAGCATTTCGTAGTGTTACCAGTTACATTTCGTGAGCAAGCCATTGATTTTGCTCACAATAGTCCCATAGGAGGACATTTGGGTGTCAAGAAGACACTCGGTAAACTGGCAAAACATTTTACTTGGCCAAAAATGAAGGAAACAGTAGCTGATCATGTGCGACGTTGCCAAGTGTGTCAAGTGACAGGCAAGCCAGCGCACACACCTCCATCTACACCTCTCACTACATTCATTAGTAGCAAAGTTCAGTTCATCTGGACTAGACATTGTTCAGATTTGTTCAAAAGGTTGAAGCATCTGCTTTTCTCTGCTCCAGTGTTGAGTCCTAATTTCAATCTTCCCTTCTTTTTACATATAGATGCGAGTGGTTATGCAGTGGGTGCTGTGCTGCTCCAACAGTCAACATCCACTGATATTCTCCATCCTATATGTTACTATTCATCTAAGCTTAAACGACACCAGAAAAATTATGCCACTATTGAGAAAGAGGCTCTAGCTCTTGTGGTGTCCTTGGAACATTTTGACGTGTATTTGGGCACTTCCCCATTTAAAATTAACGTTTTTTCAGACCATAATCCACTCACTTATATTAACACCATGAAAAGTAAAAATGCTAGGATCATGAGGTGGGCTCTCAGAATCCAACCTTATTCTATTAGTATAAAACACATAAGTGGTCATTGTAATGTAATTGCTGACGCTCTGTTTTGTCCTTAATAATTATCAGTTACATTAAATTAACGTAATTTTATGCCCAAATACCTTTTGTTACTTGCTATGTCAAATTCATTAAAGTAACTTAATCCCTCCAGCCCATATTAACTATATATACTCATGTCTAATTATTATATTTATGTATTCACAGTATTGTTGTGTGAGGAGGAGACAAGCTGAGTGTTGAGTGTGTAGTGTGCTGTGGGCGATGTTACTGCGCGTGACGCAACACTGTCCTGCCGCAGACCCCCCCCTTCACTACACACCTTAAGCTGTTTCATACTCAGATGTTCATACTGCCTCGCATTCCACAACCACTACTTAAGAGTGGAATGCAGTCTCCTCTACTATGATCGAGCCTCAACGTGCCCTCCTTGTCAGCGCTATCCTGTCTCTACACTGATGTACATAACCACGAGTATGCAGAGATACGATACTGTGTACTGCCCTAGTACTAGGGGCATATCCTAGTGACGGACGCTGTGAAATTGTAGAGGTGCTTGGCACAAGAGAGACTTTGATTAATATTTATATTAAATTGTATTGATATGAGTATTCAGTAATAATGTGAAAGACATTAATGCAACTCCTAGTGCGACCGTCTGTCGTGTTGGGGGGTGTTGCAACCCCTGAATGGGTTACAATGATTATTATGTATATATAATGTATATTACCTTTTCATATAATTTTATATTGCTTATATTTGCGATAATAGCTAAATCGTAAATATATTGCTTTATATTCTTATTTGACTTATGTTGTTAGGATGTACATAATATGTGCTCAGTTCGTCTTGATTGTCAAACTACTGTAATTATCGCTTGTCGCTCGTTATACTGCCGGCTTCTGAGCTGTGCTGTCCACGGGGCTATCACGTAATCGAGGGGGGGGTGTCCTCACCTCTCGTGAAGTATTCAGTCTGATCTAGACTCTCTTGGTGGTTGGACAGATTGTCTGTCTCATTATTCTTGTTAGTTCTGTAGAACTCTGTTCACAGAACATTGTATAGACTTAGTGATTTTCGACGTTGTACTGAGGTTGTGTCTCAGACACTGAGCATCTCAGGTCCTTAGCTGTAGCTTCTGACCTAACGTTGTACTGGTTTCTGTGTATTATCACAGTCAGGGATTTTCTTATGCTGAACTTAGATTCAGTAGTATGGGAGTTTTGTGACTTTTGTGGAGGATCTGCTGATGGTCCCTACTTAGTGTCGTTATATTATCTCCTTGTTCCTGATTCTGTGTTGCAGTTGCTTGTTGTATTGCTATTGGGCTTTAGCATTCTCTTTGTGGTTCAAGCAGACTGTTCTGGTTGCCAGTCGGTTAAGAAGTTAGTTTATGAGAGGACTTTGTCAGTCACTTGTTTAAGTCTAGTCGAGTCGTGAGACATAGTGAACTACTTAGAGCACTTACACACATACACACAAACTTGTACTATTTGTAATATCTATTAAATGTTGATGTACCTGACGGTACTTAAGAATTATAAATGTGATATGTGCTTTCAGCACAATAATATTGTACTTGAGAGAAGTGATGTTATTTTGATTATTGTGATTAATTTAATTTAATTTGATAATATACCTCTAGACTTAATAAATTTATTAAATTTTAATTTCTCTAGTTAGTAGCCTACCAGTTGTAATCCTGAAGCACTATTGAATCATCCTGAATTTAATGGATAATTGGACAAGGATACTGACTACTTGTTATGAAAACCCAGTAACAGGCTGGATGCTAGAAGGGCAGTCCTTCCTAGTATTACCTATAGATCTCTAAGCTTTTAGAATCGCGTTTTTTGTAACAGTAGTGGTAGTTTATTTTTATTTTTTATTTATTTATTAATTTGAACATGATACAGAGAAGTACAAAAGAATACAGTTAAATGCAGCATGTCAAAGTCCCTTGTATATAGAACATTATGGTCAGCTTAAAATTAACTTAAGATTAACTAAACAATGATATATTCAGTGGTAAAACATTATTGTAAACACATAACAGTTTAGTACAAATGAATATTACAAAGACAGGTCATATGGTCATTTACTGTGTTGCTGTGTAATCACTAGAATGTAATCACTAGAATGTAATCACTAGAATGTAATCACTAGAATGTAATCACTAGAATGTAATCACTAGAATGTAATCAGTAGAATGTAATCAGTAGAATGTAATCAGTAGAATGTAATCACTAGAATGGAGTATTATGTTAGGTAATGAAGTTAAATAATAACAAAGTTTGATTGGGTCACAGGTTGACATTTATGAGATACAATAATGAGATACAATAATGAGATACATATATGAGATACATATATGAGATACATATATGAGATACATATATGAGATACAATTATTCAGTATTTATTTAGTTGTGGGTGAGTAAGTGATTTTTGAGAAGAGACTTGAATTTATAAACAGACAGTGTTTCTTTTATATTCACAGGTAATGAATTCCAGATTTTAGGGCCTTTTATGTGCATTGAGTTTTTGTATAGTGTGAGATGGACACGAGGAACATCAAAGAGTGATCTGTGTCTTGTGTTATGGTCAAGTGTTAAATTTTAAGCTTAAAAAAATATTATTGTTAATGTGGCTGTTAGAGACTAACCTCATTATCGTAGTCCTTGATGGAGGTGTCGAAGTGAGGTCCCCTGGTCGGCTTGGCATCCACCACCACTACCAGCAGAGCTACCACCACCACCACCACCAGTAGTCTTGGTCGTGCCATTACTACGGCCACTCGACTACAACCTGTCATCTGCAAGTATGAAAATTATGTTCTACAAGACCCACACACGGGGCCAGGAGCTGTGAATCGACCCATGCTACCACATATAGTTGAGTACACACAAATACAGTGGATCCATACACAGCTTTAAGAAGAGGTATGATGAAGCTCATGGAGCAAGGTGTGTGTGGACTTAATAGCGACCAGTGAAAAGGCGAGGCCAGGAGCTATGGAACGACCCCTGCAACCACAGTTAGGTGAGTACAATCATGTATAGGTGAGTACAATCATGTATAGGTGAGTACAATCATGTATAGGTGAGTACACACACACTACCATAACATTATCACCACTACCATAACATTATCACCATTACCATAACATTATCACCACTACCATAACATTATCACCATTACCATAACATTATCACCACTACCATAACACTATCACCACTACCATAACATTATCACCATTACCATAACACTATCACCACTACCATAACACTATCACCACTACCATAACATTATCACCATTTACCATAACAACTATCACCACTACCATAGCACTATCACCACTACCATAACACTATCACCACTACCATAACATTATCACCACTACCAAACATTATCACACACTACCATAACATTTATCACCACTACCATAACATTATCACCACTACCATAACATTATCACCACTACCATAACATTATCACCATTACCATAACACTATCACCACTACCATAACACTATCACCACTACCATAAACACTATCACCACTACCATAACACTATCACCACTACCATAACATATCACCACTACCATAACACTATCACCATTACCATAACACTATCACCACTACCATAACACTATCACCACTACCATAACACTATCACCATTACCATAACACTATCACCACTACCATAACACTATCACCACTACCATAACACTATCACCACTACCATAACACTATCACCACTACCATAACACTATCACCACTCCATAACACTATCACCATTACCATAACACTATCACCACTACCATAACTACTATCACCACTACACATAACACTATCACCATTACCATAACACTATCACCACTACCATAACACTATCACCACTACCATAACACTATCACCACTACCATAACACTATCACCACTACCATAACACCATCACCACTACCATAACACTATCACCACTACCATAACACCATCACCACTACCATAACACTATCACCACTACCATAGCACTATCACCACTACCATAACACTATCACCACTACCATAACATTATCACCATACCATAACACTATCACCACTACCATAGCACTATCACCACTACCATAACATAATCACCACTACCATAACACTATCACCACTACCATAACACTATCACCACTACCATAACACGATCACCACTACCATAACACCATCACCACTACCTATAACAAACTATCACCACTACATAACATTATCACCACTACCATAACACTATCACCACTACCATAGCACTATCACCACTACATAACACTATCACCACTACCATAACATTATCACCACATACCATAACACTATCACCACACCATAGCACTATCACCACTACCATAACACTATCACCACTACCATAACACATCACCACTACCATAAACACTATCACCACTACCATAACACTATCACCACTACCATAACACTATCACCACTACCATAACACTATCACCACTACCATAACACTATCACCACTATCATAACACCACTACCATAACACTATCACCACTACCATATACTATCACCACTACCAAAATATATCACCATTACCATAACACTATCACCCTACCATAACACTATCACCACTACCATAACACTATCACTAACTACCATAAACACCATCACTACCATAACACGTATCACCACTAACATAACACCATCACCACTACCATAACAATCAACCACTACCATAGCACTATCACCACTACCATAACACTATCACCACTACCATAACATTATCACCACATACCATAACACTATCACCACTACCATAGCACTATCACCACTACCATAACATTATCACCACTACCATAACACTATCACCACTACCATAACACTATCACCACTACCATAACATATCACCACTACCATAACACCATCACCACTACCATAACACTATCACCACTACCATAACATTATCACCACTACCATAACTACTATCACCACTACCATAGCACTATCACCACTACCATAACACTATCACCACTACCATAACATTATCACCACTACCATAACACTATCACACTACCATAGCACTATCACCACTACCATGAACACTAGCACCACTAACCATAACACTATCACCACTACCATAACACTATCACCACTACCATAACACTATCACCACTACCATAACACTATCACCACTATGCAAACACCATCACTACCATAACACCATCACTACCATAACATTCACCACTACCATAACACTATCACCCACTACCATAACACTATCACCACTACCATAACAATCACCACTACCATACACTATCACCACTACCATAACACCATCACTACATAACATTATCACCACTACCATAACATTATCACCACTACCATAACACTATCACCACTACCATAACACTATCACCACTACCATAACACTATCACCACTACCATAACACCATCACTACCATAGACACTATCACCACTACATAACACTATCACCACTACCATAACACTATCACCACTACCATAACACTACACCACTACCATAACACTATCACCACTACCATAAACACCATCACTACCATAACACCATCACTACCATAACACTATCACCACTACCATAACACTATCACACTACCATAACACCATCACTACCATAACCCATCACCTATACCATAACACTATCACCACTACCATAACACTACACCACTATCATAACACCATCACTACCATAACACCATCACTACCATAACATATCACCACTACCATAACACTATCACCACTACCATAACACTATCACCACTACCATAACACTATCACCACTACCATAACACTATCACCACTACCATAGCCCACATCCACTAACCATAACACTATCACCACTACCATAACACCACCACTACCATTAACACTATCACCACTACCATAACACTATCACCACTACCATAACACTATCACCACTATCATAACACCATCACCACTACATAACACTATCACCACTACCATAACACTATCACCACTACCATAACACTATCACCACTACCATAACACTATCACACTATACCATAACACTATCACCACATCATAACACCATCACTACCATAAACACCATCACTACCATAACATTATCACCACTACCATAACACTATCACCACTACATAACACTATCACCACTACCATAACACTATCACCACTACCATAACACTATCACCACTATCATAACACCATCACTACCATAACACCATCACTACCATAACATATCACCACTACCATAACACTATCACCACTACCATAACACTATCACCACTACCATAACACTATCACCACTACCATAACACCACTACCATAAACACCATCACTACCATAACATTATCACCACTACCATAACACTAGTCACCACTACCATAACACTATCACCACTACCATAACACTATCACCACTACCATAACACCATCACCACTACCATAACACTATCACCACTACCATAACACTATCACCACTACCATAACACTATCAACCACATCATACACCATCACTACCATAACACCATCACTACCATAACATTATCACCACTACCTAACACTATCACCACACCATAACACTATCACCACTACCATAACACTATCACCACTACCATAACACTATCACACACTACCATAACACTATCAACCACTACCATAACACTATCACCACTACCATAACACTACACCACTACCATAAACACCATCACCACTACCATAAACTATCACCACTACCATAACATTATCACCACTACCATAACTCTATCACCACTACCATAGCACTATCACCACTACCATAACACTATCACCACTACCATAACATTATCACCACTACCATAACACTATCACCACTACCATAGCACTATCACCACTACCATAACACTATCACCACTACCATAACACTATCACCACTACCATAACACTATCCCACTACCATAACACTATCACCACTACCATAACACTATCACCACTATCATAACACCATCACTACCATAACACCATCACTACCATAACATTATCACCACTACCATAACACATCACCACTACCATAACATATCACAACTACCATAACACTATCACCACTACCATAACACTATCACCACTACCATAACACTATCACCACTATCATAACACCATCACTACCATAACACCATCACTACCATAACATTATCACCACTACCATAACACTATCACCACTACCATAACACCATTACCAATAACACTATCACCACTACCATAACACTATCCACCACTACCATAACACCATCACCACTACCATAGCACCATCACTACCATAACATATCACCACTACCAATAACATTATCACCACTACCATAACATCATAACACCATTACCATAACACTATCACCACTACCATAACACCATAACACCATTACCATAACACCATCACCACTACCGTAACACCATCACACTACCATAGCACCATCACCACTACCATAGCACCACCACTACCATAGCACCATCACTACCATAGCACCATCACTACCATAGCACATCACCACTACCATAGCACCATCACTGCCATAACACCATCACCACTACCATAACATCACCAATATAACACTATCGCCTCTAACATAACACCACCACTACCATAATACCACTACTATTACACCACCACCATAAGACCAATACCATAACACCATCACCATAACACTACTACCATAATACCACTACCATTACACCACCACCATACCACTACTACCATAATACCACTACACCACCACCATAACACTATCACCACCATAACATCACCATACCACCACCATAACACCATCA